TTTGCAGCATCTTCACACTATAAGGTAATTTCAAAATAAATATTTCTGGAAAAGATGGAAATAATGCAGAATCTTTAACAACTAGCTGTTAACAATCCGAGTCTCCAAAAAAAGCTGTTCCATTTTAAACAGCTTTTCAGTGTCTACAGACTCGTTTTATTCAAAAGCCTTGCTTGCCTCAGTGGAGTTTCCTCCATCTGGAAACAACAGGTAGGGAACTGTTACCATTCTCTTAAAGAAAGTGATGCACCTAAGTAGCAATACATAGATTGCCATGATATACAGTGTAAAACATCTGTATACTGAGAGAGAGAACAGAAAACATTTGGTTTAAAAAATGTTTAAAGATATTTCTTTGGCTCTAGTGTAAAATAAGCAGCGCTGGTGACTTACCTTTAACTCTGTGAAAAAAAGAGGAAGAACAGAAATGTCTCTGCCTAAGATACAAAATGCTAATTTAGCCTGTGATCCTTTTAATCTATGGATACTTCTTTTGATACTGATGCTCCAATAGGCTTTAAGTACCAATTACTGTAATTTTTGCCTCATATCGTACAAATTGGGATATGAATTTCCCTCATTAATTACCAGCACACTAGACAATGTAGAGTAAGGGCACCTTCTGTACTTCAGCTAACAAAATTATTTTAAACAACACAGAAGTCACTGCCTATAGTGCATTTGTAAGTCTACAGTGCACACCAGTGGAACACAGCAGTATATGCATTTTTTCACTGTTTTCAGTATAATGTGAAATTGCATTGTAAATATTCCATCTTATTTAACTTTTAAACCACCCGAAAAGCATGTCCTTCAGAAATGATAGACAGATACAAAATGTTGAGGAAGACTTGGAAGGATTATAAACAAGAATGTCTTATTGTGCCTGCTATAAGATTAAATGAGCATTCTAAAACCTAAAACTTTAACAGTTTCCCTAACTATAATTCTGTGTTTACAAACATCAGGGCAATACACCAATAACTTTGTCTGTTTTATAGAGTCCAAAGACCTAACTAATCAGACTCAGGTACACTTTTTGTGGTTTTCAGACTGTAAGGTTAGTTAATTAATCTGTAAACTAAGCTGTATCTGCCAAAATTGGATAGCCCATTTTTGGGGACATTCAACTAGCAATGTCACTGATGTCAAAATTTTTCTGTTCTTCAGAGAACTTGAAGATTCCTAGTTTTTCCTCTGAAGATTACTTTAAAAACAAATATATCTAATGTCAACAATATTTATTCAATGGTTTTACAGATTTGATCTTTACCCTTCTGTGATTCTCACACAAACACAACAATAATGCAAGTATAATTTTATTCTGAGCAATTACTTCCCCCTTATTAATAATAACAAAGTAGTTTACAGCTTTTAGTAGGTTATTTGTAATATACCTGAAGAGCAAGGCATAGGAAATATTAATTGGTTTACTATCCCACTAAGAGCTGCAAGCTGTTCTAGAAGTAGAATTGAAGATTATTAACTAGGCAGTACATACAGAATGTTTTTGACAGGTAAGAAATGTAGACACATAAATCTTAATTTAAGATGTGATCTTATGGACTGAATATTGTGTAACAAGCTCATAAATAGGTCTCTTCAAAAGCCCCAAATGTATCTAACAATCTCTGATACTGATAGCATTGTTAAGCCACAAATTCACAATAATTTGTGAGATAGGCTCCAAATATATAGTACAGTACATTTTTCCTGCAATAAACCCAAAATTTAAGGAAGGCACACTCCACTTCCATTCCTCCTTTTTCCCTGGAAAAATATTTGGTGGACATAAAGTCTTAATGCATTATCTCTCTAAAGAAAGCCAAGACACAATTTTCACTATCTAGTCAGCCAAATAAGGTAAAATTTAAGCCCTAATCTGTAGCAAGGAATTAATCTTTAAGAAGAATAGCCAAATAGGACTTGGTTTTAAACTGTTGTGATGAAAGAATACTTGAAATTAAGGAAAGACCAGAGAAAACTATATGAATAAGGACTTCTGAGTGTCTTTAGAGAAACAGACAAAATAAAGAAATAGTGCTGTCAAACATCAATGAAGATTTGAACAATAAGCTTTTTAGTGTAAATCTTAATTTCTTATTTTAATATTTAATGGAAGAGCAGAATTTTTTATAGCAGAAAAAGAAATTATAAATTTCAACACTAAGGGCAACTTCCTGTTATATCTGTTAAAATGGTCCAATTTATGACCCCAAACAGGATAAATTCAATGCTAGTGTCACACTTATAATGCTCATAGTTACTACAAACATAAATTGCCACTGTACTACTTTTTTTAGTTAACACAATACATTTAAAACTTATTTACAGTTTCCAAATTGATACAGAATCCATCATTTTTTAAAAAGATGATGATCAAGATTACCGAGGCTTTCCATATTTAGTTTGTTCCAAGGAGAGTGAACACTCATCTTTTAACAGAAAGTAATTAGTTACTGGGAGCACTAATACTCAAATCTTGGCAGCTGTGAAGCTTCTAGCATTACACAAAATCCCCCAAACTTCCAAAAGGCTAGCAGAGCTACCATTCCTAAAAATGGTTTAATTTTCAGTGTCACTGTCACTTGCAAACCTAGCATTTTTTTCCACATTCCTAGTGGGACTGTCAGGTGATCTACCAAAGGAAATAGCAGATTAACGTATACATGACTAAAACCAAGAACTCTTTGTCAAGGACATGAAAATAATCCAGAGGTACTGATTAATCTGTCATGAATCTAGAAATTCCTTTGTGATTTAATATTGCAAGTGTGTATACGAATCAGATTCTATGCTTAGCCTAGTACATATCTGCGTTTTCCTTTATTTCACTTTCAAATTTTTCACTGTCAGAAACCTTGTATGGTGTTCCAGCATACATTTCTCAACAGTAATATATAGTAAATGACATTCATACGCACATCATCAACAGACAAGATTTGTTTTCTTCTATAAAGGAAGAGTTTTCTCTTACGAAAAACCCCACAAATATAAGTAATTTCATTCACATTAGTCAGATTCATCAAGACCAATTTAATTTAAATTTAAAAACTAGATGTATGAGTCTTGTAAATCTCAGAAGACAAACAGAATGCTCAAAATACCACATCCTGTTAGTAGTTAAAGCAATTCAGCATGTTCCCAAGGAAAAAGCAGCAACACATATATATGTGTATATGCATGCATATATATAAAAATTTGAATC